GTGACGTAAAAGTATGTAACAAGAAAATATGGAGTGGGACGTGTGCCAAAAGAAAAATCTGTTGATCTGTTATAAGATAACATGCAAACAATAAAAAAAACAGCTTGAACTGTGCCAAGAAAATGATTTAATGCATGACAAATGTGTAATTGTTAATATAGTATGTGTTACTTTAATGTACAGCATGGGTGAAAAGAAACAGGCAATCTCTAATAGATATTGCTATAGATATGGCTGCAGATCTTCTGGAGTCATGATGAAAACGGCATCACTGGAGTCATGATGAAAACCGTCTCTAAATAGATGATAGTAAATTGAATTTCATATCTCCCAGGTTGATAGCACAGGCAACACTCATGAAAGGCAAAATAACAAATATGGTCTGTTACCAATTTTAAATGCCTAGCATTTCACCAACCCTGTATATTGAGATCCACATTGAAAAATGATAATTTAAACCTATTTAAATCAACTAATTTAAAACTGCAATACATAAGCTGAGCCTTTAGTTACATAAATCCAGCAATGTTAAGATGTTATACAAAGAAAACGTATTAAAAATTATACAAATATTTTTAACTCTGCGGTCATAAATCAAATATGACAATTTCAAACTAATTAAATACCAACAGACACCAAAAAAGGCATTAATCATTTGTTAAAGTGTGCCAAAAGACTAATATATAACCATATTTAAGTAATGTCATACTTTATTAAAATATATGCTTAGTGATAAAACTACCACAGAATATATTAACTTCCATAAGGCAATTAATGTAGCAATAATAACAATACTACTACTAATACTACTAATAATTATAATAACATAAAGAGAGTGATAATGATAATAATAACTAACATAAAAATTTGGACGCATTTCAATCGGCATATAATATAATATAATATAACATAACATAATATAATATAATATAATATAATATAATATAATATAATATAATATAATATAATATAATATAATATAATATAATATAATAAAACTACACAGTATACAGAGAGAAAAAGATAACTTTCTGCAAAAATAAGTGCATTTATATTGAAATAAAGTCTGAAATAAGTAATTTATGCAGTAACCATTATATAAAACCAGCATTCATTCATAATACTGTCTGTCGGACGATGGCATCATCTTCAAGCTGAGCACTGCACTGTAATAACATCCAGCAGCAGTTTAATGACAGCTAAGGCACAAACTGTGCCGTAATCAATGTCCTAAATGTAAATGTAATCAAGTCAGGGATGGACAACAGGTACGAGTTAAACCTAGAATAAAATGTTGGGATGATTTGATGCTGTCAGTCTCATTTCAGAAACGCATTATCTCATGGCCAGAGACGGCAATCAAAATTCCAATCAGGTTGACGGAAAGGAAAATGATTTGTGGATCGTCCTTCGCCTTGAATGTTCGAAGAAATCCCAAAAACACTTCTGTGATAATTTCTCTCTCTCCATCACTGAACGAGCGTGTCCGGTCCTCTGGCAGCTGATAAAGCCTTCCCTTCATTTTCAGACTGCGATAATCCCAACACCAAAGCACTCTCACAAACATCTGTCTGAATATCGTAAATTCCAATAGGCGCTGCTCATGTCCCAGTTACATAAATATAGTTTTATGGCAAAACCTAAAACTTTACTAGTGAAAATATTGAGTTGTGCAAAAGTACATATCATTAAGCAGCAAAGACACATTTTTAAAAGCTTGTGATAGTCATGACAGCAAAGACAGATATACAGTTGAAGTCAAAATTATTAGCCCTCCTGTGCTTTTTTTCCTTTTTAAATATTTCCCAAACTATGTTTAACAGATTAAGAATTTTTTTTTACAGTATTTCCTATCATTTTTTTTTCTTCTGAAGAAAGTCTTATTATTTTAATTGGTCTTAATAAAATTCTTTTATTTTGGATAGAATAAAAGCAGTTTTTAATCTTCTTGTAAATCCATTTTAAAGACAATATAATTAGCCTTCTTAGGCAATATTTTGTCACGATTATCCTCAGGACAGACCACAGTCATGTTGAAGACTAGTGTCTTCAAAAAATATATCTACTAAAATATCATGTACTGTCATCATGGCAAAGACTAAAGAAATCAGTTATTAGTAATTACATATAACAACTATTATGTTTGGAGATGGGATTTCTGTTAAACAGAAATTGAGGAAAAAATGGTGGCGGGGGAGGGAGGTAATAATGTAGGAGCGCTGATAATTCTAACTTCAACTATACATGTCCACCAGTCGAGCACAAACACCAACCTTTAAAGTAGCTGTCCTGCACCACAGGACCCGACTAGCTTTATTGTGACGCAGGATTAATTGTCTGGATAAAATGTGGGAGTGGGCAGAACTCAGGTGTAATTTAAAAGGGAGCAGAAGGTCAAACAATAGACTATCCTGTTCTCAACGTCCTTTCAGAAAGCATATCTGGATTTACACCATCTCTGCACAGCGGCGAGTTGTGGAGGCTTTTTATTACTAATATATCGACCACTCAGGACTGCATACATGCACTGCACGAATGGATCAGGGCTTTCTGCTCTGTGTTTTTCATTTGTAAGATTGTGCATGCAGCATGTGCATAACGGCCCTCAGACAGAACAGGCAGATTGTCAATGAGTGACGGTGCAGAATAATAAACGAGCATGTGGATGTGTTGTCCTTGAAGGATGTTGGAATTAGAACTTGGAATCTTAAATGACAGTTATCATATTCATTTTGTTCTGTCTGTAGGTTGAAATAACATTTTAGTACAGCCAACCTTTTTGATTTTTCTTTCTTTTAGCATGAAAATGTAGATGAAAATGTGGGATTGTCGAAAGGAGATTTAAATTTAGAGGGTAGTTAGGTCAGAAAGAAAACTGTTCTAAACAGACAGTGGGGAAACAAAGATGAGGTTGATTGGCTACAGCAGCACAAGACCATACCAGGTGCCTCTACACCCACTGAGGCTACAATTTACACAAGCTTACCAAAATTGGACAATAAAAGATTGGAAAAACGTTGCCTGGTCTGATGAGTCTAAATTTCTGCTGTGACATTCGGGTGGTAGGGTCAGAATTTGGAGTCAACAACATGAAAGCCTGGATCCACCCTGTCTTGTATCAACAGTTCAGGCTGGTGGTGGTGGTGTAATAGTCAGGGGATAATTTCTTGGCACACTTTGGGCTCATTAGTACCAATTGAGAATCGTGTCTATGCCACAGCCTACCTGAGTATTGTTGCTGACCATGTCCATCCTCATTACCACAGTGTACCCATCTACTGATGACTACTTCCAGCAGGATAACGTGCCATGTCATAAAGCGTGAATCATCTCAAACTGGCTTTTCGAACATGACAACGAGTTCACTGTACCCAAATGGCCTTAACAGTTATCAGATCTCAATTCAATAGAGCACCTTTGGGATGTGGTGGAACGGGAGATTTGCATCATGGATGTGCAGCCGACAAATCTGCAGCAATTGTATGATGCTTACAGGTCAATATTGACCAAAATCTCTGAGGAATATTTACAGTACCTTGGTGAATCTATGCCATGAAGGATTAAAGCAGTTCTGAAGGCAAAAGGGGGTCTAACCCTGTACTAGGAAGGTGTACCTAATAAAGTGGCCATATAAAATAAAGGCTATAGTTTTCCTGTGTGACGCTGTCAGTTTATGTTTGCCATCATCGGGCAACACTCTTCACTGGAGTAAGGGTTTTAATGGTTGAGGATGTCAGTTTCCAGAAAAGAAAAGGTGACGAAAAAAGATTAATTTGTAAAGATTAATTTATTTTTAAAGATTATTGGACAGAGTGGTAGGCATTATTTTCTTCCAATGCAACATTGAACTGTCCTATTTGAATTGTAACGAGTCGGAGATGTGATGGTTGGAAATGTCCAACGCTACTATGAAACAAAGGTTTACACAGCTGTTGAAATACAAACAATGCCATTGCTCACATAGACTGCTCTGTATTTTCCACCATGTTATGTTGACCTACCTCTGGTTGAGTTTTGTTCATAAAAAATTGCTGAGTAAAAAAAAAATGAAGATCAAATAAATATGAAATAAAAAGACTGAGAAAAGTACTGAACAGCAGTAGCCAAAACAAACCATAAAAGGCTCACGGAGTGTACAAACTGCACATGAAATTGATTTTGAAGGCATGCTGGAGGGTGGCTCTGGTCACTGGCAGTCGTATTAGCGATTACCTACTGCTGCTGCTGATTAATGGTGCTGTTCATAAGTTGGCATCTAATGATGGCCTCTCATTATTTACTGAGACACAATGCGGCTAATCAGAGTCCTCACGCGTCCCTAATTGGGGAAGACAATATTGATTTGAACCAATGGGTGATTTGTCAGGGCTTTCAATGCAAAGAAAGCAGGTCAATAATTGGTAACGCTCATTGAGAATTCATGACTGCTCTCCTGCATAACATCACGACCGAGCTACAACTGCTGACTAAAAAAAGCTTCTTAAAAAAAATAAAATAAAAAATAACTTTGGAAAAAAAAGTGGAAATGTTGCTTTTGCAAATAGCACAAAAATGTTTAAGATGAAACACACAAAAATGATTTACATTAAAACTATTTGTATGCTATTTATATAATTGTTACATTTTATAGAATACATATGAAGAGTTACCATCTAAATTTTCATTTTAAAATAAGCATTTTCTAATAAGCAGCCTTCTATTTGAAGGATCAGTAATTTATATTTAATAGCAAAGATTGTGTGCCTTTAAAGTGAAATAGCTAAACATAAACATATGAGATGGCACTTAGAGGCACTCGATGGCACTTATTCAGATGGCACTTAAGAGATCTTTGCATCTGAACTCTTCATATATTAAAATGAATAATAATTTTGCTAATAGTTCTAAAGGCTTTTCTAACGCCATTAGATTGAATAAATGATGGCTAATAGATTTAAAGAATAATAGACTAATAGAATAACAGATTTTAGTTTGTGGATATCCTGTGTAACTCCACTTACCACCAGGTCAGGGTCTTGCATGAGACTGAGAATGACTTCGTAGAGCAGGGGCCGCAGCTCCGGCTTGAACTTCACCGAGATCCACTGTCCAATCAGCCAGATCACCCGCCGTCTGATCAATTTGTACCTGAAAAGCCAATTGAGCCACATTAGCATTCATCTGCATTTTCAGCTGAACATTTTTTGAGACGCTTATTTTATCTCTGAATGTTGGATTCTGAAACGCATGTTTAAGACACATTAGGGAGATGATCTTTTATTCTTCGAATTCTTTATTCAGCACCTTCAACGTTCTCATTTCCATGAATACTGCACAACTTCAAGCTTTCTGTTCCCAGAAGGAGAAATTACATAAGGTTAATAAAAAGAGAGGGGGAAAACTTTGTACTAACTTTGCAGCTACTTTTTAACAAGAAAATATGGTACAAGTCCAAAAACTTGTACAAGTCCAAACCCTAATGATTTATTTAAAAAATGTGCACATAATAACTGTAAATGTCCTAGAATTTCTTATAAATGCAAGTAAAAAAACAAAGATATCTATATATTGTGAGATGAAAAAGTATATGCAGAAATATATTCAAGCATTAAATGTCTTACTGAAAAGAAAAAAAGTAATACAATTATTGCACCTTAAAGGCCCAATCCCAGTTAAATTTTAGTACCCCTACTCCTTCCCCGTCTTCTTGGCTCTAAAAACCGAGAGTGAATAGAAAGGCCTTCAAAATTTACCCTTAAGAAATGGCACAGCACTAGCACCTGCACACATCATAATATGTCATCGCAATCTCCTGCTTCATATGAGATCAGACGATGGTGACTGCTGTAGTTATTCCAGTTGTGTTATTATTTTGATATTTATCTTCAAGAAATCACTGAAGGCACACATCATGTTATCATAATGATCTAATGTGGATAAGATTTGCGCATTTACAAAGTGGCCATATTCATCTATGTAAACACACCAAAAACAACATTAACATTATAGCAGACACTGTAAAAAGCCCATCCCCAGACACTAGACTTTTCTGACAGAGTATTCGAGCGTCAGAATGCTGTGTGACTGCTATAAAGGAGTTATTATTATGGTTTATAGATAGTGAAATTTAGAAATGTAGTTTTTATTTGCGTTTTTTTTTTTTTTTTTTTTTTAAGCATGACAGCAAAACACAAACGTGCTTATGAATTTATTAAAATGTGCTTGCTTGTTGTAAAAATTTGTAATAATGCCAAAAAAAAAAAAAAAAAAAAGCATTTGTGGATCTCCTTATTTCTGCGTGCAGCTATCCTGCCGTTGTGGCTGGTGCAAATTTTCTTACCCCTTGGTTTCGAGTGTGGTCCTAAAAATTCTCTCTTTCGAGGGCAATCTACCCTTTCCCCTTAGCCCTATGCCTTCAAGATGAAGAGGATTGGGACACCTCTACCCCTTCACGAGAACGCACAAAACGAGGGGAAGGGGTAAAAGCTAAGTGGTACAATTAGGATTGGGCCAAAACGACCAGATCCGCATAAGCCTTATCAGTGATTCATTTTTATAATCGTTGTTAGATTTATTTAACAGCAACATTAAAAGACGCACCATTTTGATGATTTATATTATCATTAATAACATACTGTATAGCTTGTGTAATATGGATGTGTGCATAGTAATATTCTTTATAAACTGTATTAACAGGGTTTCTGCAGGTTTCATCAAGTTAAATTTAAGACTTAAGATGTTTTTAAGACCATTATTAAGGAAATTTCAGACTCATAAAGGGCTAAAGGCTAAGGAATTTTTTAATTGGCCAAGATGGAAAAAAATATATATTTTAGATATTTCTTAGCAAAATATTTTAAATATTGTGTAAAAACAAGAAAGCTCTACTTGTATCCGTATACTTTTTTTCAACACTAACTGCCTTTAAATAAAATAAAAAAAATGAACAAATGTTTTTAAAGTTTTTAAAAACTATGATGAACGAAATCCATGCACAACGATCTGTCCAGGTCAGTGTCCTCAGCAATATATACGTGGAGCACTTTTAAACAAATGTTATTGAAAGGAAAATAATTAAACTATTATAATAAATAAAGTTAAAAATGACATTTTAAATAAAGAGTTAATTTAAGTTTTATTGAGATGAATCTTTGGTGATTGTATGGGTTTTGACTAGACTGGGACGTAATATATGAACTTGGGAAAATTAAGACCTGTTTAAAAACAATTTAAGACCTACAACACAATATTACAGTAAATATAAATGACTTTAGGTGTAAAATTTTAGATTTGATTTTGGCATTCAAGACATTAAGACCTTTTAAAACCCAGTGGAAACCCTGATTAAAGCTCCATTTACACACATGATGGTAACTATTAAAACACAGTTCTAAAAAAAAAAATCTATGCAAACAAACAGTAAAGCTACATCGCAATTTTAAAGACTATGAAACAGAGAAGCAATATGGCCTGAATCTATTTCAAAAATATATAATAACAATAGATGCTAAACAAAGCTTGACCATTTAAAGCAGCAGAACTTTAATAAAACTTACACTTTATCATGGATTGATTGAAAAAATCCCATGAGAGATATACTTGTAACTCTGACATAGATGTGGCCAAGATGATCTACTGGAATTCAAACTGAGCATCAGAATGTAAAGGAAAGGTGATTTAATAAGAAGCATGATTGTTGCATTAAACACTCTGGTCTGGGTATTTCAGAAACTGCTGATGTACTCAGAATTTTATGTACAGCCATCTCTAGGGCTTACAGAGAATGGCCTGAAAAGATTAAGTATTGTCACTATCACTTCACCACCTATATTTCATATTCTGGTCATGAACAGTTCTCCTGGTCAGTTGGGTGCATTTACTGAGGTATTGGATGGGCTGCAGTCATAATTCCCTGAGAATGACAGTCCCCTTTGTAGCACAATATGTGATTTCAACATTCATTTTGCGAAGCCTTATGATACAAACTCCTGTTCTTCCATTACACCATTCAACCTCAGATGGATTATACCCACCAGTACACACAATTCCAGCAATCAATTGGACCTTCCCAACTTACATCATTTGTTAACCAGCAAACTCTGCTCAAACTCTATACTATCATAACAAGCACTTCAGAAACTCGCTAACTCTTCAGGACATTTAACACCTTGCTCTGTCCTCCACCACCACCTCCGTATCAACTGATGATTTAGTCTCATTTTATACAAACAAAACCACTAAAAATATCTGTTTCCATCCTTTTCAATCTCATATCACCATTAACCACACTCTCAGAATGAAAAACACTCTCCTCCTCCTCCTCTCTCCTCACAGAGTAAGAAGCATCCAAACATCCCTAAACACCTCAACGATTGGAAACAGACAAGTCTCTCTCCGCCTCTTTCATAGCCAAAACACTGAAAGGTGTTGTAAATGTCATATGTCTTGCACAGAATAACCTGCTGGACACACACACACACAAATCAGGCTTGAAATGTGGACATTCAACTAAGATTGCTCTACTCAGTCACTGAGGCCCTGCGGATTGCTAAAGCAGTTTCAATTCATCAGTCCTGCTTTTTATTACTGTAATGCTCTCCTGGCTGGTGTCTCATCTTGCACTCCTAAATCTTTACAGATGATCCAGAATGCTGCAACTTGTCTGGTTTTCAACGAGCCCAAGAGAGCCCATGTCACAACACATCTCTTTATCTCCCTGCACTGGTTACTGGTTGAAGCTTGTATCAGGTACAAATTTTTGATCCTGGCTAATAGAACAACCAGTGACTTTGCACTCTTACCTCCACTTGCTTCTGAAAGCTTACCAAGCTAGCAATTTTTTAAAGATGTCTAATAGATGTCTAATAGACATCTAAACATAATCATTTTGGCTAAAACGAGGCAAAATTTGGGCTGTCAGTGAAAATCTAATAGACATCTAAGAGTAGGCCAAATCTAGACTGGTCGTCAAATAAACAGAAATGAATGACTACACATATAAAGTCTGTCAAATCAGTCTATTTGACAACTAGTCTAGTTTTGAGCTATTCATAGATGTCTATTAATTTTATAGTGACAGGCCAAGTTTATCCTTGTTTTAGCCAAGCTGTCTACACTTAAATGTGAATAAGACGTCAATTAAACACAAAATTGCTTGTTAGGTACATGCCCTCCAGAAATCCCCAGTCAGTAAGTGAGCACCGTCTATTAATACCATTGGAGAGAGGTTTTAAAACATTCTTTAGAACTTTCATTCACTGTTCTTTACTGGTAGAATGATCTCACCAATTCAACATGGATTTCTACAGATTCTCTGATTAAATTCAAACAGCAACTGAAAACTCATCCCTTTTGTGAACGCTTGAGCACTTCATAAACAAAAAAAATGCTCTTATTACTCTAGATTTTTCTCTAAGCAGTTTTAGTTTTTTGAGCTGTTGACAGTTGTATGTGTCCCACACTGCTAAAAAAACTATTAGGACACATATATCTCACAAAAAAGTGAAAATTGGTTATTATTTCGGGCAAATTCGTACTTGCGGTTTGAAATGAATTTTTGAAGCTGCATCACGGCCATGAGATTTTAGCGTGTCTTTCAGTGTATTGACTGGATGTCTGTACCAGGCGTCCCGTATTACGTCTCCGAGTGTGCTGCATTAATGCATGAGTAAGGCTTGGTTCAAACCAATCAGCACGCTCTATTGTGCAACTTCATTAATATTCATTAATGTTACAGTGTAGACGGCAGAGACACCACATTGTGTTGGCAAAACAAGCGTAGAGTGTTGTTTTCATAATTTGCTTCAATCAAGTTTTGTTTTCATTTTCTCTCCGTGAGAGCGCAGCTGGACTCACGTGTGGATTACAGTATTCGCGCCGTGACAACAATAACTTGCGTGTCTAGGAACATTGTTTACCCAAGAGCTTTTCTCTTCTGCAAATGGAGATCTGGATTCGCTGCTTGTCTCCTCTTAATAAAGACGCGGTTCTAGTTGCTGTGGATTGTCCTGTCTACAGATTTGGTAAGTGAGCGACCAGTGGTCATTTGTTTATTCAGTTTGTTCGTATCGAACTAACTATTGCACCGAGTGTAAACATGTTAGCACCACAACCAAACTATTACCGTCGTGTAGGATTTTCACCGCATT